CTTGCTGGGGCCGGCGCTCCCGGCGCGCAGAGGGCGTGGGAGGGGCCGCCGCCGCCAGCGACGCCGGGCGCCCACATCTGGCATGGAGGAGGTCCCCGCTCGGTCTGGGCCACCGAGGGAAGGCTTCTTAGAAGGACCCCTGCTAGTGATGCTTCTTTTCTCGTTTCGATTGCGGCATCGGCTGTCGCAGCCCCTCTTCTTCCCGAGTCCCCTCGCCCCCTCGTTACCAATGACCAGTTGGAGGCTTTGAGAGTTCGGGTGGCCGCTCGGGAGCAGGCCAATGCAGCGAGAAGCAGTGGCTGTTAGATTGCTCATGTTTTCGTTCTGCCCGCGGGCAAAAAAAAAGGACCCCTGCTTCTTAGAAGGCTCGGGCCTTCTCTCATCTACAGGTGTAAGGCCGGCGCCTTCTCAGAGGCAGCCTCCGTCCAACAGAAGCCTCCCCCCGTTCCTCCCGCACCCTTGCGCGCGCCGGCAGTGGTCCGCGGGGGGGGGGGTATCCGGGAGGAGCAGCAGGGGAAGCAGGAGAAGGAGGGGTCAGCGGCCTCAGCAGCACGGGAGGGTGAGGAGCTCGATGAGAGTCAGCAACGCGCAGAGGGGGGTGGGCTTCTTAGAAGCACCCTTGCTTCTTAGAAGGGGCGGGCCTTATCTATAGGTGTAAGGCCGGCGCCTTCTAAGAAGCAGCCTGCTTCTAAGAAGCCCTCCCCCCTCCCCCCAATCCCTTGTGCGCGCCGCCAAGAGGGGGCTGAGCCGACGAGTACTCGGCCACGCGCAGAGGGGAGTAGGGGGAGGGGGGAAGGCTTCTCTGAAGCATCCCTGCTCCTCAGAAGGCGCGGGCCTTACATACAATTGTGCATCTGTATGTGTATCGTTTTGTTGATTTATTATGTGCTCCTATCTTTATTCCAACATTTCTACATGGTTTGGCTTCGCTGAAGCATCACTGCTTCTTAGAAGGCGCCGGCCTTATTTCTATATATATATATATGTATAGTTGTGAATCTAAATGTGTCTTGCTTTGTTGATATATTTTGTGCGCCTATCTTTATTCAAATATTCATGTATGTTTTATGTAATTATTCTTGGGCTCACGCCGTACCGCCGACCCCTTGGGGGGCTCCTGGTAGGTCTCTCGCGGGCCTCCTGGCAGCACTTTTGATGCCTTTGGGGGGCCGTTTTGGGGGCCGTTCGGGGGGCTGTTTTGGGCCTCTTGTGGGCCTCTTGGAGCCTCTTGGGGGCCTCTTGAGGCCTCCTAGAGGCTTCTTGGGGCCGAGGGCTCGAAATTTCCGTTCGGGTCCCCCGCCTGAGCTGCCTCCTGGAGCCGTCGAAGGGGCCTCTTGGCCGTCTTGGGGCCCTCTCGGGCCGTCTTGGAGCCTTCTTGGGGGCTTCCTGGGCCGTCTTGGGGCGATCTTGGAGGCCTCCTGGGCCGTCTTGGACGCTGTGAAAGCCCAAGAGGCGAATGTGCTAAAATCGTACGTTTCCCGAAGTGAATGGGACGACATTTGCTTCTGGGGGCCCTCTTGGGGCGCCTGTTGGGGGACTCTTGGGGCGTCTCGGGGGCCTCTTGGGCCGTCTGGGGGCCATCTAGGGCGTCTTGGAACCAGCGACTCGGGGCGCTCTTGGAACATCTTGTGGACCTCTTGGGGCCCTCATGGCCCGTGGTGAGGCCCGTGGGGCGTTCAGCCGTGGCCGTCCGGACCCCCCCCCTTCTCCAAACCGACCGGACCAGGCTTTGGGGGGAGGGGTTTGGGGAGGGGGAAGCATCTCACTTCGGCGCACGGGAACCCGACACCAACACCAAGAAGCCACTAGAAAAGAAAACATTGCAGCCTCTGTTGAATGCCGTCGCCCGTGTCTTCGGGTTCGCGTGTCCAGAGTTGATGAATGCCAGCTCTGAGCGCGTGGGAACATAACGGGCCGTCTCCAGTTCCCCAAGTGAGCGTTAGGATTTCCATGGGCCGCGCGAGTCCCGCGGGCCGTGCGAACCCAGCCAGCCCCATGAACCCCACAAGTTCCACAAAGGGCTTCGTGGGCCGAACGTGCGCCGCAGCGCGCATAAGCCCAACGCGCCGCGCTGGCCCAGCATGCCGCGCGGGCACCATTGGCTCCCTGACTCGTCAGGGCCACATCTGGTTTCTGAGCCTTGGAAACCCGCGGGCCATGGGAGCCCCGTGGGCCTCAGGGGCGCCATGAGCTGCATGGGACGTTTCCCTATCATGGAAGCACCGTGGCTTGCAAAGTCGGAGAGCAATGCGAGCCATCTCAAGCTTTCTTGGCTTCGTTGGGTCGCTCAGCCCCCACAGGGAAAGCGCTCCGAACTTTTCCAGTGGCGTCTTGGTGCTGGTGCCGGCTTTTTGTTCCCTGCAACATCAAAAAGCCGACACCAGCACCAAGACCCCCACTGGAACGGCGGCCCCATGTGCGAGCTGAACCCCTCGACGATTCGGGAAGGTTGCCACGGGCTGCGGGCTTGGGTCAAGAGGGGGTCACGGTCTTATGCCCAGGCCGCGACGGGCGGCCACCGCCCCCTTTCGCAGAGAGCGGCGGATTCGATCTCGTCGGGCCTTGGTGTCGGGCCAGACGAGGGTCAGGGATGCGACGCGGGGGTACATAGGGTGGGTGAGGGGTGGGGGGAATGAGAGGGGGGCGGGCGGGCGGGGGTAGGCGTGGTGGAGGGCGGCGGTGGGGGGAGTGAAGCTTCAGCCATGGGGGATGCTGCAGCCTTCCCTCTTCTCTCCCTCTTCTCCCGAGAGCGCCCGCTAGTTTCGCTTCTCGCTTGCGCTTGTTATTTCCTGCTTTCCCTCCTGCGTGCTGCGCGACGTCTCCCTTCCCCCGTCCTCCTCGCCCACTCTGCGATTCCTCAGGCCAGGGCGGGCTCGCGCTGGTCCAAAACGCAATTCGACATTTCGTGAAACAAATACTTTGTTGGTGCGGGTGTTGGCTTTTTGTTCTCCCATCACTTGCCGATGGCCCCAAGGGGTCGGCGCATTTCTGTCTGTCTGTCTGTCAGTCTGTCTGTCTGTCTGTCTGTCTGTCTTTATGTCTGTCTGTCTGATTGTCTGTCTGTCTGTCTGTCTGTCTGTATGTATGTATGCATGCATGCATGGATGTATGTATGTATGTATGCATGTATGTATGTATGTATGTATATACGTATGCCTACATGTATGTATGTATATGTATGTATGTATGTATGTATGTCTGTCTGTATGTATGTATGTATGCATGCATATATGCATGCATGCATGCATTCATGCATGCATGTATGTGTGTATGTATGTAGGTACGTATGTGTATATGTATGCACGTATGCATGTATGCATATATACAGGCAGACAGGCATGCAGGCATGCATGCATGTATGCATGTATGTATGTATGTATGTATGTATGTATGTGGATATGTATGTATGTATGTATGTATGCATGCATGCAGGTAGGCATGTGTGTTTGTATGTATGTATGCATACATGCATGCATGTATGTATGTATGTATGGACGGATGGTGGATTGATGCATGTATGCATGCATGCATACTTGCATGTATGTATGTATGTACGTATGTATGTATATATGCATGCATGTATGTATGTATGTATGTATGTATGTATGTATGTGTGTATGTGTGTATGTGTGTATGTATGTATGTATGTATGTATGTATGTATGCATGTATTTATGTATTTATGTATTTATGTATGTATGTAGGTATGTAGGTATGTATACATGTATGCATGCATACATGTATGTATACAGGTCTGTCGGTATGTCTGTCGGTCTGTCTGTCTGTATGTATGTATGTATGGATGGATGGATGGATGGATGTATGTATGTATGCATGTATGTATGTATGTATTTATCGCTGATTACATGTATATATATATAGACACATATTTTGTTTTAGTGCAGGCGCCCACTGAGAAGCGGCCTTCTTCGACGAAGCCTACCCCCCTCCCCCTACCTCCTTTGAGCGCGTCGCCAAAGTACGCTGATTGGATGATGCTGTGGCTGCTGCTGCTGATGGATGAGGAGGAGGAGGGGGAGGAGGAGGAGGATGAGGACGAAGTGGAGCAGGAGGAGGAGGAGGGGGGGCATTGAGGGGGAGGCGCGGGAGAAGGCTGTGTGGAGTGAGGGAACGGAGAAGGGGGGAGGAGAGGGATGGACGAGGAGAGCGAAGGCAAGTGGAGGCAGGCATGTGCGGAGAGGGTTGAGGAGGGCTTTGGCGGATGAGCAGCAGCATGAAGAGGCGAAGGGGGGGCCATGTAACATTTGCACAATTTGCAACTTCGGGTGTAGAATTCCAGGACGTCCCCAGCGATTGCCGCATTTTGAAAACACCGGATTTCACTCCTTTCATTCTTGGAAGCATTTGAAGCGAATGTGCGAGGTGCTAGAGCAATAATTGCATTTTGGAGCCCCCATTCTTGTAACGTGTGGGCTCCTGGATTTGCGTGGCGCGGCGCTGAAGCGAAGTCCGCATGTGAAAATCACGGACCCTCCATTCTTGTAATTCTCGGTGCCTCTTTTTGTTTCAGGATCGTAATCTGCAATGGAGTCTCAAACGAAACGCCCTGCCCAGTCCACGGACAGGGGGCAGTGATCCACGAGGAAGAAGAGCGGGAGGAGAAGGGGGATAAGCAGGAGCTGGAGAGATGCACATCTATATGTAACTGTGGAGGAGGAGGAGGAGGAGCAGCAGGGAGGAGGAGGAGAAGGAAGAAGACGAGGAGGAGGGGGAGGCGGAGGCGGAGGCGGAGGAGGAGGAGGAGGAGGAGGAGGAGGAGGAGGAGGAGGAGGAGGAGGAGGTGGAGGAGGCGGAGGAGGGGAGGAGGAGGAGGAGGAGGAGGAGGAGGAGGAGAAGGAGGGGGACGGAGAGGAGGTGCATGAGCAGGAGAAGCAGGACGGGGACGAAGGGGATGGCGTGGCGGAGCAGCAGCCCATGCTACCGCGGGGTATGGCCGGCGCTCCAGCGCCGGCGTGGCGCGGTCGCCGGCGCCGGGGCCAGGTTCGAGGACAACGCCACGCGCGGCTACATCGTGACGTCGCTCATGAAGATCACGGGCCAGTCCTCCCTCAAGAGCCGCTCGCGTCACCGCCTCGCCCTGCCTCTGGTCCTCTCCCCCGTCCCCACTCCTCGCTCCCTCCTCCCAAACTCGTCCCCCTCCCCCTCCTCCTCCTCTCCTCCTCCTCCTCCTCCTCCTCCTCCTCCTCCTCCTCCTCCTCCTCCTCCTCCTCCCCAGGCGTAGCCTTTCTCCTCCTCTTCCTAGTTCTCCTCCTCCTCCTCCTCCTCCTCCTCCTTCTCCTCCTCGACCCCCTCTTTCCTTCCGCTGCTCTGCTGCTACTCGCTGCTTCTCGTCTTCCTGCTGCTGCTGCTGCTGCTCCTCCTCCTCCTCCTCCTGCTCCTCCTGGTCCTCCTGCTCCTCCTCCTCCTCCTCCTCCTCCTGCTCCCCCTGACCGAAGGGTCCACCTCCTCCTCGGCGTGGCTGCCGTGGCCTGCCTGCGAGGGCCGCCGCGGCTCCCCGCGCGCCCCGCGCGCACGGCCTGCTCTGCCCCCTTCCGGGAACGCGCTCCCGCGCCTGCCCCGAATTGATCCCGTGGGTCCAAGTTCGGAGGAGGAAAAGGTACCCATATCACTTCCCTTCGCCTCGTTTTCCCCTTATCGGAGGGCCTCCTGGAAGGCCCTCGTCGCCACCGCTGGATGCGCCTCGAAATCCTGGTCAGAGCGTGCCCCAGGAGAGGTCCGGGGAGTAGCGGTAGATCGTTGCCTTTCGGTCTTCCCCGTGGTTCCAAGTCTGTCGGATCCTTGCGCTGCATCTTTGCGTTGCTGGTTGGTTGTAGCCTGCCTCGGCCTCGAGAAAGGAGCGCCTCCGCCACCCCGCGTCATTCTCCCTCTCCCTTCTCCCTCCTCGCTTCTCCCCACCATTCTTTCGCCGCTCCTGGCGCCCGTTCTGCCTCGACGCAAGCGCGGGTGGCCCAAGACATCGTATCCTTTTGGGCTGGATCTAGCCATGGAGCGCGAAGCCCATTGCCTTCACGTGGCGCCTGGGATGCTCCACCACATAACGATCCACAGTGTTGTTCCCCAATCAGAGCTTGCCTCTGTAGGGGTCCTAGCGGATTCATATGGTTAGGTCAGGTTTGCCGCCGATCTTCGCCGCACGCCCAGGTGCCCTGATGCCCGGGGGTGCCCGGGGGTGCCCTATAGCCCAATAGCCCTATAGTTTTAAAGCCCACATAGCCATATAGCCCAATAGCCCATATAGCGCCCAAGAGCCCACCTAGCCCGGTAGCACTATAGCCCTGCCCTAAAAAGATTATGATTGGGTTTTTTTTCTGCGGTATCATTAGTATTTATCAGCGGCCGTTTGCGTGGGATGGCAAGAACGGGCGAATTCGAGGGTCATATTCAGAAGGCTTGTCGCGCATTGTGGTGTATGTTTCATAGCCGTTCTTCTGGATTGCACTTGTTGCATTTCAGTCTGAGTGGTTATTGGTGAATGGTTTTGCGTTCCCAGGCTACTGGCGAGGCCCGGGGCTTTCCTAGTGCTTCAGCGTCTGGGGCTGGCGGCTATTCCCATTCAAGGTCCTACTGCTTGCGTCTGGTTCAGATTTGTGTTTCTCACAGCGTATTGGTTTCCGTTTGTTCCTGGAGGCGTGTTTCTTGAACATGTTGTTCGAGGTGTGTGATTCTTTGCAAGTTCGGTTGGGGAGCGTTGCGCGCGGTTTCGTCAGTTTGGCACCTCGCACATGTTGCTCGTGGTGCGTCAATCGATTGCGTCTGTGTTTGTGTGTATGTGTGTCATCGAAGTTGTGTTTCATCTTCTCCGACTTGTGCTCGGTCAGACTTAACCCGTCGACTTGCAGCACAGCGTTTTGTAGCACTCTCGCTCGCCTTTAGTGTTCTGGGGTTTTCCCATATGCTTACGCCTGCCGTTCTGCGAATGCCGCATAAGGGTATATACTGCGCCCAAGCTGGGGACCTACTTTGCCGATTTCATTGCAGTTATCTCTCGTCCCCGAGAGGGGATGTCATTGCAGTATGCTTTTGATGATGCGTGTGAACTGTCGCCCGCTTTCAACAATGGGCGTGGTAGGAGGTAAGCAGTTACTCAATGTGATTGGCCGCATGGTTCGTTCTTGTCAATGCCGTTCATCGAACCACGTTGTGCCATTGTGGTTTGTGGGGCTTGGTTCCGAAGGCGGTTGGGGAAGTGTTTTTGGCGATGTGGATGTGGCGCCGCGTTTTCTGTACATGCCCAGGCTTTCTGTGCAGGTGTCATATTCTCATGCTGTCAGCTGTGCGTTTCCCACATACGTACAACTCCACATTTTGGTGATTAATTGTTTCTAATACTGCGATACGGTGCGATAGTTTTGATTAATCTCTGGCGAAGGCGCGTCTTAATTATTCTTAACAGCAACAGACTGGTGGGGCAGTGGTGCGTAACAATCTCTGGCGTTTGGTGGTTTTGGCGAGTATGTCATTCAAGTGGTGGACCTTCCGTTTTGTGTTGTTAGTTGTGGTTTCATTATTATGGGGGTGCGCGTGCAAGAGCGGCGTGCAGTATTCGAGTCAGGTTCTCCAGTCGGGGCGCTTCGTTTGCGCTGCTTTCGATTAGACTTTGTCTGGCCCCCCCAGTCCCGTTGTTTCATTTTCTGCGCGGTATTCCTCGCGCAACCTGCTCTCTCTCACCCTCCAGGCGCATGTTCCTAGGTGAAGGGGGCCCTTCGGCGTGGGCATGCTCTTGCTAGCCCGCTTGGGGAGGCTGCTTCGCACACCCACGGCTGTAGTCTTGCTCGTCCGGCCGGGAGGTCCTGGCCCTTGGCAACCTTTCAACCGAATTCATGAGACTCTGAATTCGGCGTGCAAATTGAGGAGGCCAGCGCCCACGATGCTTGATTTCGGCGTGGCCAGGCGCCCCATCGAGAAATGCAGCCTCCAGCAGCATGAGCAACGCTTGCTCCCTCCAGGCCTTTCTCTGCCACTCGCTGTCGACGGCGCGTAAATGTCCGCAGGCAGGGTACAACGCACCCGCCGCTTGCATCGGTGGGGCGCCATCTGACAGCATCTCCTGTCGCCTCCTTTCCCGTCCGCGCACCAGGGAGCTCTGTGACGAGATGTCCGGGTTCGGATACGGTTCTCCTATTTGACCCCGAAAGGACATTCCGATGTGTCTGTGACTGGCAGGGGAAGCCGCACCCGAAGTCTACCCCCTCGCCAGGCACCAGCTTAGGTTACCACGGCTTATGGTGTGCCGCCGAAGGCCCACCCGTCTCGGAAATCTTCGCGGGAGATGTGTTCACATCTGTGTCCTATTGTGAAGGCCTTCCGGCCGGTGCCGCCCAGAGGGGGAGGAGGAGGAGCAGGACGAGGGCGCGGAGGACGCGGTGGAGCACCGTCGCGGTAGCCTTCGCGGGAGATGTGTTTACATTTGTGTCTTATTTCAAGGATGGTCCGGTACTTCCTCACGCGGAAGGCTGCGCCGTGGCTGAAGCAATTTCCGTGGAGGATTTGTTCGTTGCCATTCGGGTGCGGCGTGGGCGCGGATCACCCCCACACCCCCCATCCCCCCGCGCGGCGTAGCACATCCTTGCCCTCGCGGTGGTGCAGCTGTGGCCCTGCGTCACCACTGCGCCGTGGCCACAAGTCGCGGCCCGCCATCGCGCTTTCTGCTGGCCTCCAGGTTCAAAGCTGAGGGGCGGCCACATGGGGCCATGCATCTTCCAGAATCAGCGTCACCGCGCATGCGAATATTGACGAGCTGGCCTCCGTATTGCCGGGATGGTGCAGCGCTGCAGGCACCGACCTGGCCGACAGAGGCGCTCAACAGAAGAGGTCGAGACCTGGCCGGAAGAGGAGCGCCTCCCTGAGGAGAGACCTCCATGCCCAAGCTCAGCCCCCCGTGGCCCTCGTCTGCCCCCCTCCAGGTTCCCTCGTTCCACGTGTGATGACGGGCTCTGGGCCCCCCCCTCTCTGCCGCGGGAGCAGGGGTCTGCCCGGCTCAGCCGGAAGGGGTGGACAAACCTGCCCGCATGCGAGCCGGAAAGGGCGGTCAGCCGCGGGAGGAGGGGTCTTTTCTGCTGCCGCGGCTCAGCCGGAAAGGGTGACAAAGCTTGCCACGTGGGCACGCGGAGCGTGCGCCACCTGGGGTGCAGGTCCGAGTGCCCGCGCCTGGCCGTCCCGTTGTCCTGGGCGGCGCTGCCTCCTCCGCCATCGCAGCGTGCCTGAGGGGCCACCGCGTCTTGAAAAGCAGCCTGCCATGACGGAAGCCGTCTGATCCCTTCTGTTCACCTTTCGGGTGCACCTTCAGGAGGGAAGAAAACACACAGACACAATGAATCGTCGCTTCCCCAGGAAAATATGGGAACAGATGGGAATTCGGGGGGAAGACAAAACACACAGACACTATAGGAAAATATGGGGAATTTATTTGTGTGTCCCAGGGCCCCTTCAATGACGGAAACCGTCTGATCCCTTCTGTTCACATCTCGGGTGCACCTGCCAGGGCCGGAGAGGAGATGGGCTCTCGGAGGAGTGCAGAAAGGCAAGTGGGCGAGCCCTCATCGCAAGAACAGCTGGCGCAGGACGTGTGCTCGGCGCAGGCACCCAGACTCCTTCCAAAGGGTAGGGGAATGGCTGCCCTGGGTGGGGCAGGAGCGCTTTTTGTTGGTTGTTCTGTTGTGGGACCTCTGGAGATAGAAAACGGAGACTGGCCTCTACCCGCTGTATCCCCTGCATGTCTTTTTTACTTTCTCCTCCCAGTTGCACCCCGATTCAGGCTCCGTGTGCAGCTGCAGGTGAATACTGCGAGGGACGCCGATCTCGATCGCAGCCGGTCTGAGTGAGCGTTTATCGACACCTGCTTCTCCCAGCAGGTTCAACCTGATCCCGCGCTCGTGGCGGATCCGACGCGAAAAGGTCGGCATCGCATTGGTGCTCGTGCCGCCCCGCTGCATCTCCCTAATTATCCCCGCTTGCTCTATCCGTTCGCCTATTGCCACTCTCCCCCCGGGAGCTGTTCTTCGCCATCCTCGGTCCAGCGCCACCGTTTCCCCTTGCTCCTCTTTTCCCACCTCCTTGCCTGTCCCCCTCCTTCCCTCGCCTCGGCGCAGCTTGCTGTCCCCTTTGACCCCCTGTTTGTGCGAGCGCGCGGTCCTCGCACCATGATGGCTCCCAGCAGCTGCAGTGGTACGGGCGAATCCCGCCCCGACTGCCTCGCGCAGGTGCCGTGGACCCGGTGCGCCGCACCAGCTGGTGACACCTGAAGATTGGCCCGCCGGGTCGCGCGAGTGGCGCTCCACTTGAGCCTCGTCCAGGCCAACTGCCCGAGGGGATCTCGTGCCGCCCTCCCCCTTGATGGCGCGGATCTTCGTTCGGGCCGATCACAGCGCGCTGTCCACATCGGCGAGTGCGACCCCTGAGCCAAAACGTCGCCCTCGCAGGGCTAACGTTACCCTTGTCACGAGGCACGGTTGAATTCTCATTGTCGGCCCCGGCACTTGCGCAGAACAGGACACGCGCGAGCCGCGGGGATGAGGGGGCGCTGGTTTTGAAAGCCTAGACCATGCGTCGAAGAACAGCTGTTTGAAATAGACTTTTCCTCCGTCGCGGACCGCCCTTCGTCTGCCAGGACCAGACCACCCGCAGGATCGGGAAGCCTTGGGCAGCCGTTCGGGCACTCGGGAGCGGCCGCCCCAGACGCAAAGCCTGCTGGCGAGTGCCGCCCCGGGGTTCTCAAGGCATGGCCGCAAGCTCACAGGGGGGCATTTGGATGCACTTCCCCCCCGTGGACTCGCTCCACCACGGCCACTGGCACCAACCCCGCGGAACAGTTCCACCACGTTTTACCGGCAACAGGTCTCGGCCACCGCCCTCATTTCAAGGGTGCGGCCCCGATGTCCCACAAGCCGCCCCTCGGTAATTAGCCTGTACCTCGATCCCAAAGGGTGGGTGAGGTACGGGGCCTTGCAATCCTCCCGCCCTATCATCTCCTCCTGCCCTGGAAGAGCACCTCCTTCTCGATCATCCTTGTTCTTTTGTTCCCCTCCCCCCCTTCCCCCCTCCTCGCGCATGTTCAGTTTCAATCCGACCGACTCGATTTGGCATCGGCTCTGGCTAGCTCGATCCGTTTCGATTCCGATATTCGCACGCTCGTTGTGCATCGTGGCCTGGCCGACCCGCGTCGACCTCGATGCCGTGCCGATGCAGCGCGACCCGACGTGCGTTCCTATCCGACCCGAGTTGCCGATTCGATAATGACGGTTTCTGCCTTCTTCGCCCAGCCATCCTCCCGCTTCCTCTCTTCAGGGCAACGTTTGGCGGGATTAACACGGGGGGGGAATGCATCGATCCCCGATAGACCACCCCCACCCTGGATTGTGCGGTTCCGGTATCGGGAGCCTATCGCCGATCGGCGATGCATAGCCGATTCCAGGTCGATGGTCCCCCCTTGGACCTGTTCCCGCCCCGAACGTTGCCCCTCACCAAGACGTCGGCTTTTTCGACGGCCCGCGCGGGCGTCGTCACTGCCGCCGCGGCCGCTGTCGCGGACGGCAGGCGACGTCCCCGCCGCCGTCGCTGTCGTCGTCCATCGATCGAGGAACGAGGGTCGATGGAAGAAGAAACAGTTGAATGAGCGTCGACTCTTGAGGGGCTCGGCACGGGTTTCTTGGATCGGTGCTGGGCCCCCCCTCGGCGACGCTTCTGCCGCCCCCCCCCCCCCCCCGGCGCCCTGCGCGCGCCAGAGTCTTGAGGTCTCCCGTGACGCCGCGCCTCCCCTTCCCGTCCCCCCCCCCGCCTCCTCCGCGCGCAGTCTGCGCAGTCTGCGCAGTCTGGCGGCGCTGCCGCCCTCCCCCCCTCGTGGCAGGAGCAGCGCCGTCGACAACATGATCAGCTGGAGCCCACCACCTGCGCGTCCTACGCGGGGGAGAAGGGAGGCGGAGAAGGAGGAGGAGGAGGAGGACTGAGAACTGGGAGGAGGAGGAGGAGGAGGAGGACGAGGAGGAGGAGGAGGAGGAGGAGGAGGAGAGGAGGAGGAGGAAGAGGAGGAGGAGGGGGAGGGGGAGGGGGAGGGGAGGGGGAGGGGGAGGGGGAGGAGTAGGAGGACTACGAGGAGGGAGGAAGAGGAGGAGGAAGAGGAAGATGAGGAGGAGGAGGAGGAGGAGGAGGAGGAGGAGGAGGAGGAGGAAGAGGAGGAGCAGGACCCGAGGAAAGCCACGATGCGTCCATGATTTTGCTGTGCTCCCGCCAGCGCGCACGAGGGTGTGGCGCGGGTGGGGTGGTCTGAGAAGGCGGGGGGGGGGGGCGTTTGAGTAGGCGGGGACCTCGTTGGCAGGGCGGCTTCTCAGAAGGCTTCGCAGAAGCCTCCAGGCGCTTCACAGAAGCCCCACTGTCTTCTTAGGAGCTCCCGACCCCCCCATGTCTGAGAGTGCCCCCCCCACCCCACACCTCGGGCCCCTCCCCCCTGTGGGCGCCGCCAAGACACCCTCCCGCCTCAAGTCCTTTCCTCAGGAATCCCTTTCGGCCTTCCTGCTCATGAGGAGAGGTGCCCTCCCAGAACCGGTGCCCAATCGGCCTGCCATGCGGGCGAGATCCCGATTCTTGCAGCGAGCAGACATGAAGCGAAGATATGTTGGCAGACAGTTCCACGATGTGCTTTGCGCGGTATGCGTTTGAACAAGGGGCCGCCCTGATTTGTACATTTCTGGTCCTCGGCCAGATGTTGAAAACGATATGCCTTGAAGTTGCGCTGCTGCTACATCTGTTTAATATCTGAGGGAGTCCCTGGCGAGAGCCCTCGCTTGAGAAGGTGCATTCCTTGATGCCGTCCTGAGTGAATGTTTCGTGAGGAGGTGAGGCAAATCTGCAGTCTTGAAGCTGTGTTGCAGACTCTGAAGCTGTGGCAGACTTTCGAGACGAGTCTGCGCGGCGCTAAAAAGTGACTGCCCCGTTGTGAAGAAGGCGCCGCCGCCATGCGCCATCCCCCTTGGAAGCTGCTGCAGAGGCGAGAGTGCGCGGCGCCAGGGCGAGAGCCGAATTCTGAAATCGACCTGTGGTCCATCATCTTTTTCTCCTTTTTACGACGGATGTGCGCGACGCCAAGGAGAGAGCCTGATGTTCAAAACGACCCCCCTTAATATCATATTACAGCCGTCGAGGGGTGTCCAGAGGAGTGTGCGCGGTGCTAAGCGAGAGGTCCATGCTGAAACACCTTTTTGCTTCATGCTTGTCGTTGCTACAAACTTGTGTGGCGAACGAGCGCGGCTCTGAGGAGAGAGTCTCTCGTTTTGAGAACTGCCGTTGCTCCATCCTTGCAACTGCTGCAGAATTCAAGCTTCATGATCAGATATCTGGCTCTCCTCCTCCCTCCTGCTTTCACCCTCGTCACGCTCGGCTATTGGTCTGTTTGCTGCTTGTGTTGATGCTTTTCTGTCGTCCCACGCCGCCCGTCGTAAGGGACTCCCAGGTTCCCCCGAGGAACACTTTGAAGCTCGACTGCGAGTCACGTCTCGCCGTCACCGCTTTCTCACCCGCGCTTGGCGCGAGCAGGCCGCTGTGCAGTTCTCTTCCTCCTCCTCCCCCTCCCGTGTGCAAGGAAGTGCTGTTGCTGCTGTCAATTCTGGCTCTGGGAGTGCCTCGCAGGGGCGAGGCCGATGGCTTGGAGGGCCCGAGTGAGCAATGCTTGATTGTTTACACCTTTTGGGGCCTGCGCCCACAGCGTGTGCAGGCGGCAAAACACGTCTCGATAGGGGTTGGAGGTTTCAAAAAAAAAAAAAGCTTCATGATCAGATATGGTGAGGAGTTTTCAGGCGAGACACCCGGCCCGCCTTGCCGACACGCCTGGGCATGCGGCGGGGCTCGGTCATCCACGACGAAAAGAGATAGGTGAGGATGAGGGGGAGGAGAAGCAGGAGAAGCGAGGAGAAGGGTTGAGCGAGGAGAAGCGAGGAGAAGCAGGAGAAGCAGGAGAAGCGAGGAGAAGCAGGAGAAGCGAGGATGAGGGGGATGAGGGGGATGGAGGAGCGAGGAGAAGGGTTGAGCCGCATTTGCTTGTCTGCCGTCGATCCCACGGTGGGGCAGCGCTCGGGGCAGCTCCCAGGGTGCCCGGTGAAGTGGGGGGGGGGCGTTCTGTGGCCCCGACGGATTCGGCGTCCAGGCATGGGACTGGGAGAAGCTTCTGCGCTCGTATGCGAGATGCGGGACCGCGAGGGCCACCGAGAGAGGCGCGTGCGTGGTGGAAGCGTTGGCACGACGGTGGGTGGATCGGTCGTCGTCGTCCTCCTCCTCTCCCTCAGTCCGCTCCCTCCTCTTGCGATCCCGCTCCCTCCGAGCCCGGCACCCCCGTGGTGTCCAGACGCTGGTCAATCAGGACCACTTTCGGCGGGGGCTCTGGGTCTCGCGCCGACTCTCGGGGAGGAGGAGGGGGAAGCAGGGAGGAGGAGGAGGAGGAGGAGGAGGAGGAGGAGGAGGAGGAGGAGGAGGAGGAGGAGGAGGAGGAGGGAGGAGGAGAGAAAGAGGAGGAGGGAGCAGGAGGGAGGAGGAGGGAGGAGGTGGAGGCAGAGGAGGAGGAGAAGGAGGAGGAGGAGGAGGAGGAGGAGGAGAGGATAATGAGATGGAGGAGGAGGAGGAGGAGGAGGAGGAGGAGGAGGAGGAGGAGGAGGAGCTGGAGAACGAGGAGAAGGAGGTTGAGGAGTAGGAGAAGAGGAGGAGGAGGAGGAGGAGTAGGAGATTCTCCAGGCTCACGCCACATCCGCCGACCCCTTGATTCGTACCGGCGGCTATCGCCGCGTTTCCGCCTTCACTGCTCGTAGCTGCCAGGCGTTACAGCGCAGTGGCAAGTGCCAGAAGAAAAGATTGAGAGGCATGGCGTCTCGGAGCTCCCGTGGGCCGTCTTGAACGCCTCTTGGGGCCATCTTGGCCCGTCTTGAGGCTTCCTGGAACCCGGCAAAGCCCCGGCGGCGCTCGTCCCGGGCCCGGCGGCGCTCGTCCCGGGCCCGGGGGGGGGGGGCTCTGGTGCGCTCTTGGTTCGTTTTCGGGCCCTTTGCTCCCCCCGGCGGCGTTCGAGCCGGGATCCACCGGAGCTCGGATGACCCCGGCTCGAACGCCTCTGGGCTACCTTGGGGCTGTATTGGAGGCCTCCAGGGCCATCTGGGAGCGTCGGAAAGCTGAAAAGGCAACTTTGTGGAAAAAAGTACGTTTCACGAAGGGAACGGGCCAATTTTTGCGCCGAGGGGCCCTCCTGGGACGCATCTTGGAGGCCTCTTGGGGCCTCTTGGGGCCGTCCTGGGCCGTCTGGAGGCGATCGTCGGTGTCTTTGATCGCTCTTCGACCGTCTGTGACCATATTGAGCTTTCTTGGAGGCAACTTGAAGCGCTCCTGGAGCGCTCTTGGGGCCGTCTTCGGGGCCCTCTTGGGCAATCTTGGGCGCCTCTTGGGCTGTCTTGGGGCTCTGTTGGGCTGCCTTGGAGCTTCCCTGGAGGCTGCTTGGACCGTCTTGGGGCGGTATTTAGGGCCTCTTGGGCCGTCTGGGGCCGTCTGGGAGCGTCGGAAAAACCCAAAAAGCGAATTCGTGAAAAATGTACGTTTTACGTGGGGAATGGGCCAATTTTTGCGTCTAGGGACCCTCGTGGGACGCATCTTGGAGGCGTCTTGGGGTTTCTTGGGGACCTCTTGGGCCGTCTTGGAGGCTTCTTAGCCCGTCTTGGAGCCATCTTGGGCGTCTTGGAGCGCTCGTTTGGCGTCTCGGAGCTCCCGTGGGCCGTTTTGAACGCCTCTTGGGGCCATCTTGGCCCGTCTTGAGGCTTCCTGGAACCCGGCAAAGCCCCGGCGGCGCTCGTCCCGGGCCCGGCGGCGCTCGTCCCGGGCCCGGGGGGGGCGCTCGTCCCGGGCCTGAGGCGCTCGTCCCGGGCCCGGGGGGGGGGGGTCAAATCGCCGGTTTGGGGTCCCTGGGGGGGGACTATAGGGGGGGGAACTATCTCACACGCCTAGAGACCCACAAGGGGTCGGCGGATAAATAGGTCGGGGGGGTCCTTCGCGGCCGGGGCCTGTTCTGGCCAGAAGCAGCCCCTTCGCCTCCGGCCGCTACGCCGTCTCGTGGCCTGCCGGGCACGCAGCCTCGCCCCGCCCACCTGCGGTCGGCGGGCTTCTCCAGCCCGGCCCTCTCTGTCTTTCAGTCGGGCATGTCCCTCTTCAGGAGGAATATTTTTCAAACGTGGTCAACGGATGGGCTGGGAACGTTGTTTTTCTTTTGTTGTTTGACTGTTGTTGGTTATGTATTAACTATTTTTCCTTGCTCGTCGAACATCTGACTGTATGGGGGACAGGCCCGACCTAACCCTATCTGGCTCCTTCGCTTCGCGCGCCTCCTGTTCGGGAGATCGTACAGGTAGGTCAACTCTCGGGTCGGTCGAGGCCCTTCAGGCGATGCCCTGTAGGCCCGAGTGCTGACCTGACTCAGATCAGTGCTCGGGTGGCTTTGGTTGCGCTCTGACCTGACTGTTTTTCTGTTCCCGATCCTCGTCGGCGTGCGTTGTCGGCGCCATCGGCATCGCCGCCTTGGTGCCGTGCTCATCCTCACGTTACTACTCCTCGCACGCACCATCATCATCAGGACTCGTGCACCTCCCGAGGGGGCCTGCAGATGGTTCCCCCCCGATCTGTTGGGCGGCCAAGAGGGGGGGGAGGACTTGGGGGGGGGGGGGGGCATCATGGCCGGGGCCACGATATCTCCCGGGAATGTATGGCCCCCTCGTTTTATTCCAAACCATCCACTGGTGTTGGGCCCCCGCTGTGAAGGGACAGCGCCCCGCGTTCCTCCTGCTGCTCCTCTTCCTCCTCCCTCTCTCCTCTCCTCTCCTCTCCTCTCCTCTCCTCTCCTCTCCTCTCCTCTCCTCTCCTCTCCTCTCCTCTCCTCTCCTCTCCTCGCCTCTCCTCTCCTTCCTCTCCTCTCCTCTATCTCTCTCCTCTCCTCTCCTCTCCTCTCCTCCTCTCCTCTCCCCCATCTCCTCTCCTCCACCCCTCCTTTCCTTCTCTCCTCCTCTCCTCCCTCCTTCCCCTCCCTCCTCCCTCCACCGCCGTTCGCGTGCGTCTCCATCACCCAGTACAGCGCTCCGTGGCCCCCTAGGGAGCTCCATCGGAGGTCCCAAAGTGGCGCAGTTCGCGCGCGCCTCCCCCGCCCAGTGCGGCGCGTCGTGGCCCACGGGGGGCTCCACGGAAGACGAGACCCACCATTGCGGCTCTCACGGTGGCACATTGGTTGGCTTCTCCGCCCGGGGCCCAGTACTCTTCAGCACGTGCCTGGGCGTCCCCCTGGCCGCGCGCGTGCCTCGGGCCACGATGTGCGAGCCCCCTCTTAGGTTTCAGGCGGGCGTGTCCCTCTACAGGGGGACACCTCAAAATAGTCAAAACATAGTCTGGGGACAATTGTTTGATCATGTTTGAGCATGTTTTGATATTTTCGCTGTATTTTCAATGTCTCGTCCGAAATCCCTCTGTAGGGGGACAGGCCCGACTTGATCTTGGGTGCCTTCCCTCTTGGGGGCGCCCCTGGCCGAGGGCCGCTGTCGATCCAAGGGCTGCCGCACGCGCCAGAAAGCTACGTCTTCGATCCTCGGAGGCTGGCGGACGTTCGGGTGCAACTCCTGGGAGGTCCAATTCTGTTTTGGCCCTTGTCCGAGAATCCGGCTTAATCCGGATTCGTCCAGCTTGATCCCGCTTTTAATCTGGCTTAATCCCGCTTAATCCTGCTCAATCCCGCTTAATCCTGTTTCATCCCGCTTAATCCGAAGCCCACTCGGGCATAACAGCCCCCCAGTGGGGCCTAATTCTCCTTAATCTTTCCGACGAAAACCTTTCAGTAGTTGCCTCCCAACAGACGGAGGCGCTCGGAGGAGGACAGCTACACAGATCCACCTCGTTCCCTCCGCATCCCTCCTCCCAAGATGGCTCGCTCATACAGTCAACCCGCACAGTAGGGTTAAGTCGGGTCTGTCCCTCTACAGGGGGAATCTTCAAACAAAATTCAAATCATAGCCGGGGGACTATTTTTTGAGTATTTTTGTTGGGCATCGCTTGAGCATGTTTGGGGTATGTTTTATTTTTCGGCGAATATCCCCCTGTCGGGGACACGCCCGACGGAATTGGCAGACGGAGGCGCTCGGAATAGGACAGCTACACAGATCCACCTCGCTCCTTCCCCTCCCCCCCTCCCCAGAAGTTCTCGCTCATACAGTCAACCCGCACAGTAAGGTTAAGTCGGGTCTGCCCCCCTACAGGGGGAATATTCAAAAATGGTCAAACAAATAGTCGGGGGACTATGTTTTAACCATTTTTGAGTATTTATAGGGCATTTTAAATGCATTTTTCATTTTTCGTCCAAAATCGGCCTGTAGGGGGACAGGCCCGACTTAACAGTAAGGATGGGGAACATTCCCAAGGGTACCCTTGCATCCGTGCCTCCTCGGTCCATCCTTGGCGACTCTCATGGGCCGCGCCCCGCTCGGAAAGCTTGGAAATGGGCGTCCAAGGCCCTTATCGCGCATCCTTGCTATACGTATTGACTGTAAAGGAGGATAACACTCAGAGGAGGGGGAGGGAGGGAGAAGGACAGAGGTGCGCCTGAGCGGCTCTTCGACTTTCGGCCCACCCCCCCTGGTTGGCTTGCCCGACGCGCAGCTACCGCTCCTCCCGCTACACGGACCTGCAGCAGCGCTGCTACGAGTTCGAGCAGTTGCGACAGACGCAGCCTTTGATGAAGAAGGTCCGGGGAAGGGGGGGCAGGGCTCGCTTCAATTCCTCCGATTCGATTCGATTCCGATGGCGTCCGATTCCGATTCGATTCGACTTGGAATTCCGACTTGGGCTCCGACTTTTTACTGGAGGCCCACTAGCCTGCCGATGTCCGCTGATTCGACTTCTCCCGACTCGGTTGCCGATTTCCGCCGATCCGATTCATGTCGATCGCCCATCTGACTTGATCGATTTGATTGTGGGGGGGGAAGCGCGCAGGCCGTGACTGAGAAAAGGGTCCGATCATACGTAAGAGCGACCTCCCGCCGGAGCGGCAGTTTTTGTCAGGGCCCACTGGGGTCCTCCGATCGCTGAATGCGACGTTGGCATCGTCACGACACAACGCGAAGCCGCCTGGGGCATCTGCACCCCACGTAGAAGCTAGGCTGGGCCAGACATATCCCACTTTCGGCATCCACTGAAATCGTCCTTTATCCCTTACGCAATCCTCGCGCCGATCCCAGCTGAGATCCTGTCGTCTGGCGTTCTCTCGAAATTCCAGGATCCGGGGCCCTCACATTATCGATCCAGCTCGGAACATGCCGCAGGAAGAAGGAGTCTGGGGCTCGGGCAGTGATTTGGCACGGTACTGCAGTTTTCTCGCGCCGTCGGATCTCAGGCATGGAAGCCTTCTTCGGCACGTTGGCGCCTGCAGAGCTTGGGGGCGCCAGGATCCCTTCCCTTCAAAATCAGCGGGCGAAGAGCTGTGGGCGCCTGTCCCAGGGCGGCGGGGCAGTTTGCACCCTGGCGTGCCACCCTATGGGCATAAAAACACCGTTCCCAGCCGCCCTGGGACGGTCGCCCCGGACGGCGAACCTGCTCCTCTGCATTGAGTCGCTTCGCCCACTCCGCCGGCCCGCACTGTGCCGTCGCAGGCGTTTGCCGGCGCGTGCGTGGCCTCGTGGAGGCCGCTCGTGGGCCTCCTGGAGTTTTTGTTGGCCTCTTGACGGTATTTCTGGGACCTCCTGGGGCGTGACAGGGGGCGAACGTGTTTCTCTTTCTGCCATTCTTCGCCCGCTGACCCCTGTGGCTAGCTCCCATTTTTGCAGATCCGCTCCCTTCGTTCCCTCTGTTGATGGGCCGTTTGTCCACCACCATGAGTTGGAGGGGGCAAGGAGGTGGAGGAGGAAGAGGACGAAGAGGAGGAGGAGGAGGAGGAGGAGGAGGAGGAGGACGAGGAAGAGGAGGAGGGAAGGGGAGGAGGAGGAGGAGGAGGAGGAGGAGGAAGGGAGGAGGAGGAGGAGGAGGAGGAGGAGGAGGAGGGGAGGGAGGAGGAGGAGGAGGAGGAGGAGGAGGAGGAGGAGGAGGACCCCTGCTTATCCTACTTGTGGTGGTTGTGGTGGAAAACGAGCCCCTCATTTGTCCGCCTCTGGCTCTGCTCTGCCCTTCGCCCTTCCCACGGGGGGGGGGGGCCTCTGCTCTGGGGGGCGGGGGCGCGCCCGCAGGTCTTGCCGTACGACGCGTCGTGCGAGGACATCACGGTGAACACGGACCCGCGCGCCCCGTCCCGGCGAGCAGGGCGACGGGAGGAGGGAGGAGTCCCTCCTCCTCCTCCTCCTCCTCCTCCGCCTCCGCCTCCGCCTCCGCCTCCTCCTCCGCCTCCGCCTCCTCCTCCGCTTCGTCCTCAGTTCATGGGGCGGGGACGCGGGTTGCGCATGAGCTTCCCTCTACTGCGCGCGCCACGCCGTCCCTGCGGGGCGGGACCCCGAGCCAGAGCGCTTGAGCCAGCTGCTTCCTTCTTTCTCTGTCCTTCCTCCTCACTTCATCCGTCCTTCTTCCTCTTTCCTTCCTCCTTCCTTTCTCCTTCCTTCCTCCTTCCTCCTTCCGTCCTCCTTCCTCCTCGCCCCACTTGCTCCTTCCCTTCTCCTCTCTTTAGCTGCTCCTTCCTTCCTCCTCCCTCCAGCGGCTCGTGAGGAGCGGGTGGGGGGTTGTCCAGGAGCTGTGGGGGTCGGGGTGGGGGTCAGGGGATGTCGGAGAGGGTCCAATGGAAGTACGAGGGTCGCAGCGTTCTCCAGGATGTAGATGGGGGGTGCGTGGGGGCCTCCTGGAATACCATGCCAGTGGCCAGGTATGTGATGGGGGGGATGCGAGTACGAGGGGCGAGGAGAATGGAGGGTGCGAGGATACATTATGAATAATTGCCATTCTAGTGGGCAGAGATGTGTGAGGGGTGTGTGGCTGGGGCTGTCGGCGCGAGGCGGAGACGGGGTGAGGGGTCGCAGTTGGGTGTCTGACGAGTACAAGTTGAGCAAACAACGCGTGGGACAGGGCAAGGAGACCCCGGCAGAGTACGCGTCCGGGAGGATCGGGGGAAGCACAGCTATCAGTGCCAGGTGTTAGGGCTTGACGGGGACCAGTTGAGTAATTGTACAGATGGTTTGATTGTTGTCCCACTCATTTCCGTCTTTCCTCTCATCTCCCTTCCCTTTCCTTCCCCTTCCTCTCCCCTTTGTAATTCTCGCTCCCTCTGCTCCCCTCCCCCCTTCCCCCCCCCCTCCTCCGTCCCCGCCGTCCTCCTCGGCAACGACCACGGCCGCGACGACCGCGCGCGCTCTCTCTGGGGCGACGCAGAAACGCCCCGTGACCTCGGGGGCTGGCGATGCGAGTGCTCGAACGATCGTCTGCGTCGTGGTCCCGGTCGTCGGGGCCGCCGCCGCCGCCGCATGGGGCCGATAGCCCACCCCGTCCAGGAGCGTGCGGTTTGCCATCGGGGGCCTATCGCTGATTTACCGGCGATGTATCGCAGATGGCAGGTCGATATTTTCCCCCCCGCCCCCCCCTGAGCGGGTCCCCCTCCCATCCGTTCCCCCTCGCGCGAGCGCGCGCGGCAGGACTTGTCGTTCCTCAATGCCTTCGTAAACAAGAAGCTCGACGAGGGCGCGCGCCAGAGGGGGGGGCGGCGAGGCTACTCCGAGATGTTCAGTGAGCGGCGGCGAGCCCGGGGGTGAAATGAGAAGGAAAAGGCCTTCTCAGCGGCTCGGACGTCGCTGATACATCGCCGACGTCGACGATACATCGCCAGTGCATCGCCGATGCATCGGTGATGCGGCGCGATCCTCCCACCCCATTTAGGAGGCCTCTACGCGCGCACCGAAGTCCCCCCCCCGCCTCATCCGACGCCCCTCGACCACAGCCAACTCTCCGGGCAGAACATATCTGAAGGCGCCCGGTGGAGGTCCATGCCAAGAAACACCCTGCTTGCCTCCAGGGTGCCCTGGGCCTCTTCGGTTTCGATGCTGTTGCGATGGGACGCGGGACGTTCCCTCACCGAGACGGAATGGACGTCCCGGGGTCTCAGTGTCGGGTTGCTCGTGGAAGGCTTCTCGTGGTCGAGCTCCTGCTGTAATATGCACATCCACCGCCCCAGGCCTGGCCCCATCCTGGGCCCAGGGAGCAGTGTCCGTGCCTCCCCGGCCCAGCCGCGAGGGCGCACGCACCGCTCCCGTGTGCCCAGGAGGGGCCAGGCCTGGGGCAGCGGATGCTTCTATCGACTAGACGTAAGAGTGACCTTTCGCCGGAGTGACCTTTGGTGTGCGCACAGATGGGTCCCCAGACGGCTGAAAACGAAGCAGCAGCAGCTGCTTGCGCGCCCAGGTTTGGTCCCCCCGCTGCACCCAAGATGTCGCGCACCAAAGTTCACTCTTACCCAGGGTCACGCTTGCGTATAGCCGATTCTATACAGCCCGTCGCCCTGACTCGTACTCCCCCGTCGCGATGCCGCCCCTACGCTTGCTGAGCAGCTCTAGGCCTCCTATAGGTGTGGTCGGGGTAGAGGGGGTCGGATGACCGTGCCACATCGCCGATGCATCGGCGATGCGGCTTGACGTAGGGTCCGATTTGCTTCACGTCGACGCCGCCGATGCATTGCCGACGTCGACGATGCAGCGCCGGTGCATCGCCGATGCATCGCCGATGCATCTGTAATGCATCGGCATCGCTCTGCACGAACGAAATGGGCACGGAAAGAATGTGTACAGTGTCCAACAGCAGTTCCTGTTCATTTTGAACAACTCTCTGTCCGCGCCGCCGCGGCCTTTGTCCATTCGAGACAGAAGGCCGCCTGCCAAACAGCGGCCGCTGTTGGTTTGGGACAACATTTGCTGTTGGGCATTTTACCCATTCTTTCCGTACCCATTCCGGGCGTCAAAAATCGCCGCGCGATCCTCTGACCCCATCCACTCCGACCCCATCTAGGGGGCCTCTTGCGATAGCCCCCCCCCCCGACACTCGCTGAACAGCTCGGAGCAGATGTGCGCCGAACCCCTCCCCGTTTTTTCCGCCCCTCTCCGACCCCAGCTACAGTCAACCCGCATAGCAAGGATGGGCAACCTTCCCAAGCGAACCCTTGCATCCTTGCCTCCCCGGTCCATCGTTCGCCGCTTTCGTTGGCCGCGCCCCGCTCGACCAGCTTCGACGTGGCCGTCCAAGGCCCTTGCATCCTTATCGCACATTCTTGCTATACGCGTCGACTGTTCTCCGACCCCACCTGGGAGGCCTCTGTGAGTAGCTCGGGGGAGGTGTGCGCCGAGCCCCCCTCGCAGTGTTTCGCCCGTCTTGCCGCCCGTGCGGGCGGGCCGTGAGACAGGTGATCCGCTGGGCCGGGGGTACGAGGACGAGGACGAGGAGGAGGAAGAGGAGGAGGAGGAGGGGAGGAGGAGGAGGAGGAGGAGGAAGAGGAGGAGTGAGAGTAAGAGGAGCAGGGAGATGAGGAGGAGGAGGAGGAGCGCGGCAAGACCACGGCCACGGCCAAGATCCATTACCTCAATGCTTTTGGCTACCCACGACTACTATACAACGCATGTGCCTGGATGCCTGTAAACAAAAAGCCGAGACGGGCAGGATCACCAGTGCATACACAGCGGCTGCGAGGTTGGCATTGGGCATCGACCACCAGACAACTCAGTGTGAGAAGATCACCAACATCGAGATCATCGGCAGGGCAGGCATCGTGACACTCCCACAACGACTACGGCAAGCAAGGCTACGAGAGATTCTGCGGCTCACCACCGCGTGCCCGACGACACTAAGAGCCCTGCTTGATTACGACATCACAAACAACGGCTGATGCTCCACTTCGATTGCAGACGATCTCCACCACATCAATACATACATTAGCAAGCACCATACCACGCACAATCACGACGTCAGACGCAAGTGAATAGGCATGGCAAAAGACGAACCCTCCAAATTCAAGAGTACAGCCACACACGCCTACAAGACAGCTATCGAGCACAACAAAGAGAAAGCAGCCACAGCTGCCTGGAGACGACGCATGAAACACATCTGCAACGACACTACTATTCCGACGCCTGGCAGCGAAGCTCCACAACACGACATCAGGTACCTCTGCTACGAATGCGGGTAAATCCTTCACGGCAAATCAGCGCATCAAAAGCACATGCACGCGAAGCACAGCCGGCAGGTAAATATCAACTACATCCACGGGTCTACATGCCAGGTCTGTATGAGGGATTACTGGACGGTCAGCCGATTGTTCAAGCACATGTGCGCCAGCCGACAGTCTGGCACACTCACCATGCACTTCAGCAAACGGCTCGACGACGACGCAGCAGACGACATATCCGAAGAGATATGGGGCATACGGCGGACCAACAAGAGCAAAGGACTACCCGAAGACTGCGCAGAACGCCATTGCGTCCAACTCCACGGACCTCCACTCGCACTACGAACAGGCGCGGACCACGAACCCACGATGATTCCTGCACCAGTTCCTCTGTCACCGCAAGCAGGTGAAGAGCTAGACGAGCGACGAGGACAGACGGAAGGCGCCCAGGAACGCGAGCGTCGCCTGTGCCACACGCGGCTCGAAACAATCAACGGTGAGACATCGGAGGCATGCGACGACAGGCCATATCGGACGTTCACAATCCTGCTCATCACCGACCAGAGTGCCACCAGTGACGACACTATGCGCATTGTCAACGGCATTAAGCAGCAAGCAAACCTACAACACCGACGAGTACGACTTCTTACCGTAGCGAACCACACGAGTCAGGCGTACAACGGCTGGAATCCCGACCACACCAACATTGCCATCCACGACGCCTCGCGGAACGGTACAATTGACGCCATCTACTACAGGAAGTCCATATGGAGCCTCGACAACAGCAAACGGCTGCGCGATGAGCAACACCCGTGGGGTAGAATACACTCCAGCTGACACGACTCAACAACCATCGTGGATGACAGCGCGACGATACGAGACGCCATCTTCCCCATGTACACGTGCATCGCCAACGACACAGCTTGCTTGATGAACATCGGACCGATCACGGCAACCGCCCCGCACGAACTACAACAACTGAAGAGCCACAACCTTGTCACCATGACCGGCCCCTGTATCGCACGCAAGCACTTTTAGAACACCAGCGACGGCGACGGCGACACTACACGAATCCTGGCGGCAGCACGCGGAAGCAGCCACAACGACGAACAACAGACAAGCGGCCTCATCGAATACGTGACCGAC